GCACGCTCTAGACTCAGTGACAGGACTGTTAGGGTGTCCATTGTCGTGGCATCCGCAGGTCGTGCCCCTGTCTGGCTTCTCGCTGGAGCGGAGTTCGCCGCCTCGCCGCCGGCGAGAAAAAAAACGTGCGCGTCGCCCCCCGCGCCCCTCCAGGGGGGCGGCGCGCGTCCCCGAGAGGTCCTGCAGCACGTGCTCCGTGGCGGGCGCTTGCTGGCCGCGCCGCTCGGGGAGCGACGTCCGAGGCGAGGGCCGCCAGACGCCCGTGGGCATCAACACGACGTGCGCCCGAGGCAGCGAGTGGATCAACAAGCTCGAGGAGGCCAGCCGACAGCGACTTGGCGACGGTCCAGGCCAAGGGCCGAGGCCAGGGCCAAGCACGCGTCCAGGCCCTGCAGGGACACCCACATACAGTCAGCCCGCACAGTGAGGATGGGCAACCTTCCCAGGGGGGGGGAACCCTTGCATCCTGGCCTCCTCGGTCCATCCTTGGCCGCTTTCGCTGGCGGCGCCCCGCTCGAAACGCGTGGACCTGCGTGCCCACGGCCCCTGCATCCTTACCGCACATCCTGACTACACGGGCTGTTTGTGCACTATCTGCTCCGTGGCGGGCGCTACCCGGCCGCACCGCTTGGGAAACGATCTGCTACAAGATGGTTGCGCTGCGTGCTCGTGTCGGACGTTCCCCAGAGGGGCCACTCGCGCCCCGAGAAGTCCTGCAGTATTATGTGTTCCGTGGCGAAGGCCTTCTGGCCGTTATCCTTGTATTCCTCCTTCTCCTCGTCATCTCCATCATCGTCAGCATCAGCATCAGAACCATCATCAACAACAACTTATTCAGGAGTGCCGTCACTTCCATTATCCGAATCAGAATCAGTATCGTCACCGTACGGTTCATTTGAATATTCCTGTTCGCCACCACCGTTATATTGATATTCCTCCTCCTCTTTCTCCTATTCTTCTTTCTCCTCCTCTCATCATCATCACCATCATCATCAGCATCATCGTAATCATCATATGCATCATCATCAGCATCGTCGTTGTCGTCGTCACCTGCCGCATCATCAGCATCATCATCACCATCAGTACCAACAGTTTCAGCATCATCATCGCCATAATCATAATCACGGTCATAATCACCAACCGCATCATCAGCATCATCATCATCATCATCATCATGCCATCGCCAATCGCATTTCCACCCGCATCATCATCAACATCGTCATCATCATTGGCAGCACCACCAGCAGCAACAACATCATCATTTCCTTCGCTCATATGTCGCCCCGGTCGGCTGGAGGACCTGCAGGTCTCCTCCGCGGGGAAGGAGCTCCGCCTCGTGGTCGAAGGCGCGTTGGTGAGGCCGCGGGCGCCCCCCAGCCTCCTATCCCACGCCGCGGTAGACGTTTGTAGCCGTGGCTCGCTATACAGCACGCCCTCCCCCAGGGGCCCCGGGGCCGCGGCCACACCACGAGGAGTGGAGGAGGAGGAGAAGGAAGAGGAGGAGGAGGAGGAGGAGGAGGAAGAGGAGGAGGAGGAAGAGGAGGAGGAGGAGGAGGAGGACAAGCTAGGTGCCCTCGCGCAACATCTGAAGCCAGACCCCTCCCTCCCATCCCGTACCGTGGCGCAGATATCCTGTCGGTTCGCACAGCCGAATGCCGAGCACGGCAAGGATGCCGAGAGGGTACGCGATGGATGGTAGAGCACGGCGTAGCATTGCGTAGCAGAGCATTGCAGAGCGTAGCATGTCATAGTATGGCGTGGCATTGCGTATTGAAGCAGCGTATCACAAAGCATTCCAACGCAAAGCATGGCATCGCACAGCGGCACAGAACACAACACCGCACTGCATGTGATGGCATGGCAGCGGGTTTCTTAAAAGGTGATTGTCTTCGAGGGGTCTGGGCCAGTCTGCATTCGCGGTTCCCTGTTCAGCTTCCTGGGCTCCCCGGACAGCTCCCCATGAGACCCGAGGTTGATAGAGAGCACCCGCTGGCTCTGCTTTCAACATCGCCTTCTCCAACCAGAAACGGGGCTCCTGCCTGAGACTTCCTCAAAAGATGCAGCAGTAGCACGATTTGGAACGACCAGATGCGCAGACATGAGGCCAGCGGTGCAGTGGGAGCAACATTTTGAAGGACCGAAAAGAATCGGGTTGTCAAAAACACATATGAGAACCAAGCTCCCGGCAATCCTGCGTGTTAAAAAACAGTGCGCGGAGGGGTGCCGGCCATCTTCTGCACAGACTCAGGGGAGAGAGGACAGTAGTACTCATCTTGTGTCAGTGTGGAGGAGGAGGAGGCGGAGGAGGAGGAGGAGGCGAAGGAGGAGGGGGAGGTGGAGGAGGTGGAGGAGGAGGAGGAAAAGGAGGAGGAGGAGGAGGAACCTGGAGTCAAGTGAGTTTCCCGCCCGTCCCGGGGCCTCCCCGGAGGCTTCGGTCCCCGCCTGGGGAGGTGCGGGCGGGGGCAGGCTGGCTGGGGCCGTGGCCCTGTCTCTCTCGGCCGCGTGGGCCGCTCGGACTCCCGCTGCCTCTCAGTTTCTGCTCGCTCACTCGCTCGCTCGCTCGCTCGCTCCTCCTACTCCTCCTACTCCTCCTCCCCTCCTCGCATTCCTGTTCTCCTCCTCCTCCTCCTCCTCCTCCTCCTCCTCCTCCTCCTCCTCCTCTTTCTCGCCCCGTCCTCCTCCTCCTCCTCCTCCTCCTCCTCCTTCTAGCCTCCTGGTTTAAAGAATAGCTACCCCCAGACGTGTCGGTAGGGCGGGCCAAGCGTCTCGCCAGAGCCTTCCTCACCACGTATGGCCCTCAAGGTTGACGTTGGCAACAGCTTCAAGAATGGAAGGTGGCCGTTTTCCAAGTTTGGCTCTCGTTTTGGCGCCGCGTACATTCGTCCTCACAGTTAGCAACAGCTTAAACGATGACGGGCGGTACCTGTTCAACGTGTGGCTCTCGCCGTAGCGCCGCGCACATTCGTTTTCAACGCTTACCGCAATTTCAAAGACGGAGGACGGGTCGTTTCCAAGATGCGGTTCTCGCCGTAGCGCCGCGCACACTCGCTGTTTAAGAATGCAACAGTTTCAAGCGTTGAGGGCGGTTCCTGTTCAACATGTGGCTCTCGCCGTAGCGCCGCGCACATGCGTTTCAAAGCTTACCGCACTCTCGAAAACGAAGGGCGAGTCGTTTCCAGAATGCGGCGCTCGCTGTAGCGCCGCGCACATCTGCTGTTTAAGAATGCAGCAGTTTCAAGCATGGAGGGCGGTTCCTGTTCAACATGTGGCTCTCGCCGTAGCGCCGCGCACATTCGTCTTAAGCAGCGGCAGCAGTTTCAAGGGCTCGTACGGTTGAAGCCCAGGCGTTGTGTTTTGACATTGTTGATCATTGTCAGGGCGCGTGGATTCGCGGCGCTGGTTTCCAATAGTTTCACGGATTCAGGGCGGGTCGTTTTCAAAATGTGGTTCTCGCCTTCACGCCGCGCACATTCGTTTTACATATGCGCAACAGTTTCACGGAGTGAGGGCGATTCCGTTTCAAAGTGTGGTTCTCGCTTTAGCGCCCACATTCGTACAGTTTCAGGGGGTGAGGGCGGTTCTTTTCCAAAGTGTGGTTCTCGCTTTAACGCCGCGCACATTCGTTTCACACTTTGCAGGGGTTTCACGGATTCCCATGGTCAGCGTAGCAGAAACGGCGCGTTGGAATGGTGCAGGATTATGAGGGTACAACAGTTACGTTGGTTCGCGGTGTTAAAGTCCCAGGGGTGTTGTTCTGGCACGGTTCGGGCTCGTCAAGATGCAACAGTCAGGTTGATCCGTGGCGGTGGAATCCCGAGACCCATGTGTTGGCATAAGTTTGGGCCTTCACACGGTTGTCTTCCAAAGAGGCAGTTCCCTCATTGTAACTGAACCGTTGTATACGCATCTGAAGAGGGAGCTTGGAGGGAGGGTGTATTCCAACATCGTTGATGACTCTTGGGTTTACGCTGGTCCTCCTCCTCCCCTCCTCCTCCTCTCCTCCTCCTCCTCCTCCTCCTCCTCCTCCTCCTCCCTCCTCCTCCTCCTCCTCCTCCTCCTCCTCCCTCCCCCTCCCCGTCCACCTCCTCCTCCTCCTCCTCCTCCTCCTCATCCTCCTCATCCTCCTCCTCATCAGCATCGTCATCATCATCATCATCATCATCATCATCTCATCATCATCAGCATCATCATCATCCTCCTCCTCATCCTCATCCTCATCCTCATCTTCCTCCTCATCATCACCATCATCCTCATCCCCCTTGCCCTCCTCATCCTCCTTCTTCTCCTCCATGCTCCCTTCTCCTCTTCCCTCCCTCCCTCACTCCTTCCTCCTCCCACCCTCCCTCCCCCCTCCTCCGTCCCTCCCTCCTCCCACCCGCCTCCTTCCTCACTCGTTCTTGCCTCCCTCTCTCCCTCCCTCGCGCCCTCCCTCCATCCCTCCCTGTTCTTCCTCCTCCTCTTCCTCCTCCTCCTCCTCCTCCTTACTCTTCCTTCTCCCCCATTACTCTTCCTCCTCCTCCTCCTCCTCCTCCTCCTCCTCCTCTCCCTCCTCCTCCTCCTCTTATTCCTCCTCCTTCTCCGCCTTTTCCTCCTCCTTCTCCTGTTCATGTTAATTGCCGTTGTTAGGAGTTCATGCTAGAGTTATAGAATGGAATGCCTGCTAGACTCTTGAAGAACTTGAAACGCCCAAAAGGCTTCAAAAAGGCTCAAAGAGCATTCTGGCGTGTAAGCTTAGAAAAGGTATAAAAAAGGCTATAAAAAAAGATGGGCTAATGTTGCGGACACCATGCGCAACAATGAAAGTATCCTTTGCCGCCACGTGATCAAGGCTCCTGGCAGCGGCGGTCACCGTCGCCGTAGCCGCGGCGGTCATCGTGGTCGTCGCCGTCCTCCTCGCTGCCACCGTCGTCATCGTCGCTGCCGTCATCTCGTCGTCATCGACGAGACGATGGAAGCGACGACGACGACGAAGGCGACGACAACGACGGCGACGGCAACGACAACCACGACGACCACCGCGGCTAGGGCGACGGCGGCGAGGACAACCTCGGCCACGAGGCTTGACCCAGTGGCGGACAAGGCTGTTTGATTTTGCGCGCGGTGTCCGCAACTGCCGTCCATCTGTATCATATCATATTTGCTGCCCGCTTGGGCCGTACACGCCAGAGCCCCCTGTGAGCATGCGAGATTACTTTTGATCATTTCCAGTTAGCTGATCGTCGCCGTCTAGATAGTGACGCCCAGGGTAGGATGGGGCAGAGTAGAACGCTGTAGACGAAGGGAGGGCAACGTAGGGTAGAGTAGAGAGGGGCGATGGAGTTACAAGTACAAGAAGGAAACACACATAATGCAAGGGCAGGGCAAGGCATAGTAGGGCGCATCGAAGTAAAGCAGGGTAGATTAAATCAGAGTAGCAGTAGGGCAAGGAAGGGTAGGATAGGTCAGGGTAGACTGGAGTTGAGTAAACTAGAATAGCAGCTAGAGCGCATAGACACCATAGTGGGCTAAGGCGGGGCAGGGCAGGGTAGAGCACGGAAACACCGCGGACACAGGGCCAACATATAATACACCAGCGCACGTGCGATCCAAGAGGGGGCCAAGCCCAGGAGACCGAAGGGGCAATCCAGACGGGGCTAAACGCGAAGCGTCCTGGAGTAAAGCGCATCGTCGGTGCCGAAGGCGAAAGCCTCTGGAATAAAGAACCCAAGACGGCCCCAAGACGGCCCTAAGACCCAATACGGCCCCAGGACGGCCCTTAAGACGCACCCATGTCTTGGAAAGCAGCCTGGCGGTGCTGAACGCGAAGCGTTAAGGGATATTGGGCACACTTCGGAGCTGAACGCGAAAGCGTCTCGATATGCGAGGCATCCCCTCTCTGTTTTTAAAGCTCTAAGGGTCAAGAAGATACCGAAACAAGTCTCTTCCACTCCAACAGCAAAAGAAACTGCACGTAACTGCACGCAGGACTTGTCTGCGCACTTTGGTGGATTCGGCCACCTCTCATGATTACACTGTCAGTTGCACAGACGATCCGAGTGTCTGCATTTCCCCATGCAAGTGCGGCCCCACACTTGAGCTGAACACGGTCTGAAAATGATAATCAATCCGAGCTTGAGTTTGTCTTCCACTACATCCGTTCACGGCCTGAAATTGAGAGTCAACCCTGCCTTGAACTTGAACGCCGCTGCGCTGTGCAAGAGGGTCGGCTCAACCTTGTAGAACCTGAGCTTCCCCTGGACTTTCTGGAGAGAGCTACGCAAGCTCACCTTGTTCGAAACCAGCTTATCGTCAGTGAGGTTTCTCGTGATATCGGCCATGGCTGCGATGGCAGCGCACTGCTTTACGTTGAGCTGCGCATTCTCCACGAGTTTGCATTCGGGGTCCGCTGGTACCTGGTACTCCGAGCGCTTGGTCAAGTAGATGCTCACAGCCTTTCCGACACGAGCGACGACTGTGACTACGACGACGGCGACGACGATGACGACGACGACGACGAAACGAACCGAGATTTTTGCCTCGACGGGCAGGGCAGAAATCCCCTCACAAGACGACGACGACGACGCTGACGACGACGACGGCGACGACGAAGACGACGACGAGTCCGAAACCTTGTTCAACTCGTCGCAAAGGTGGTACACTTCGGCGGCCGCCAGCTCCTTGAAGGTGTCTGCGATCTTGACGATGTCCGCCCAGCTGCTGGTGTCACTGACGTGCAGCTTGTAAGTGGAGTACGCGGGGCTCTGGTCCAGGGTCGACTGCAGCTTCTCCGAAGCCTCCGTCACCGCGTCCTTCCTGGCAGCCATCTTCAAACCGACCGCCTGCGTGTAATATGTCTCGGACAGGGAAACAAGCTCATTGTATGTATCTCTGAAGGTAAGGCCAACTTCGTCGAGGCTAGCGGTGATGTGCGAGATGGCGTTGGTGCAGGTGGTCAGATCCGTCTTGGCCTTCACGAAGGCCCTCCACAGCTTCTCGTTCGGATCCGCAGTGAGCGCCATCTGCATGTCGACGTCCCGCTCCTTCAGATCACCTATAAACTTCGAGAGCGCGCTCCTGAGCGACGAAGTCTTCTTAATCAAGTCCATGTGAAACGCGAGCTTCTCGCGGTCGGATTGGAAGCTGGAAATCCTGTTCAGCACGTCGGTGTACACGTCGAACTTGTCGCCCAAGGTGGTCTGGATAGCATCCGTCTTCATCAAGAAATCCCAAAGCTGAGATGCAGCGGCCTGAAGATCATCGGTAGCTGAATCCGCACTCAGACTGAGGCGCTTCACGTCGGCGTGCAAGACTGCAATGTCGATCATCCCCTCGCGGAACTTGTTCATGCTGCCGATGATTGAAGTGGTCGTGGTTTCTTGATCTGCACTCCTGATGGCGTTCATTACCCTATCCTTTAAACGCGAGATGGCATCATCGAGCTGGCACACCTGATAGACCTTCTCGACGACCTCCGAGTAAGACTCGAGCAACGCATGGTAACGAGTCGGGTCATTGGCAGTGTCGCCAGGGAAATCCTTCTCGAGAACAGCAGTGGCTGCCTTGTGAATGACCTGGACCAGCGAGGTCTCGAGCATCTGGATTGGCTCAGCCCCCAACCTGGCGATGTATTTGGGGAGACGATCGATCAGTGACTTGGCCCGCACTGGGAAGGCATTCACATCCATCGTCTTCGAAAGAGCCTCGACTTCGGACAAGTCCTGGGCGACTAGAGGCGCCAGCTCCAGGTAGACCTTGCCCCTGGAGATCACGTTCTTCAGGAGCGTCTTCCAGTGGGGCGACTGCCCCAGAGCAGCCCCGACCTGCGCCCAAGCGTCTGTGGCCCCTGCTTTGCCGCCAGCAGCCTGCAAGGTGCCGATGTCGGCGTAGGTGTCTTTCTGCGCTGACTTCCCGATGGTTTTCGAGGCTGCCGTCTGGATCGCCTCGCATATCTGCTTGACCTCGACAACGGCCTGAGCGCACTCCTCGGAGATGTCGCATTCCTCGGGGAGCTGGAAGAATACCAAGGCCGTCTCGATGAAGTCTAGGACCTGTCGCTCCATAGGGGCGTCGCCCAGAATGAGCGGGATGAGGTAGGAGATCAGCACCTCCTCGACGAACACGGCTGCCTTGGTGCTGCTGGGAAGTCTCGCCTCTGCAAGGCAGGGGTCACGGAACATGAATACTCTGGGAACAGCTCCAGCGCCAGCATTGGACCACGTGCGGTAACGTTGAAATGTTTTCAGCAATTGGGATCGGGAGCGTTGCGATGATTCCTGGCCCTTGCTCCAGACGTCGTAATCCTTTTTCCCCCAGTACTTGACAAGTTTGAGCTGAACAGCTGCAGGGATCACCGCCCCTGCCTCCGTGAGCTCCGCCATGTGTTTGTTCAAGGTATCTGGATGGAGCGTCTCCATGCGAACGATCTCCTTAGCCAGGGTTACCAGGTGGAGGTGCTTCCTGATGGTCGGCAACTTTCCCTCAGGAACCTTCCCCAAGAGAACCTCTAGCTGATGAGGGCCCTGGTCGAGTTTCGCGCCAGCCATGGCGCATGTCAAGTTCAGGTCGTGAATCCAATACTCGGGGGTACCCTTCTGGAACTCGTTCGGGGTATTCTGGATCTCCGAAGGAATGCCGTGGCGGCCCCCAGGGGGAAGCACCGTGCCGCTGCTGCCGCGAAGCAAGCTGCCAGGCGTCCTTGGGCCCCTCTCGCTGGTAGGCGAAGGCTGAGGCGTGCGGCACGTGCCCGAGACCGCCGAGTCGGCGTAGCACGCTGCGGCATCCCTCGGGACCTCGACGTCTTCGTCGTCGTCCTCGACGCCCTCCTCTCGTTCGTGGTCAGGCACGTCGCCGATGGCCAAAGCTGGAGGATTCCCTGACCCTGAGCCGCTTTGCACCCATGCCCCAGAACCCTTGGGGGAGGGCGCCGGCGTGGGAGGTACTTCGCTGACCCGCACGCGGCCAGCAGCGCGGGGCGAGAAGTCCGTCAGCTGAACCCTGCCGCCGCCCAACTCCGCGCTCCTGTCGTTGACGGCGCCCACGGTCGGCAAGCGGATGGTCGAGAAAGCGCGCCTCGGATTGCTCGTATCCCGAGCCTGGGCGGCCATCACCCTGTCGGGCTGCGAGGCGAAGCAACCCATGCCATTCTGCATCAAGTTCTGCATCACGTAGTCGAACGACTCGCTGTGCAAGCGGAGCCTCGGCCAACTGTTGTCGTTCTCCTTGATGGGGTACACCGTGGTCTCGACGCCGTTCCGACCGCGCCACTTCAGGGGCCTGAGGCGCAACTGCTTCGGCGTCTTCTTCCATGTCGACACGACCTGGCGGTGGTTGGGCGCAAGGTAGTCCTCGAAGAGGGTGCCGCCTATCTGCGAGCCCTCGCCAGCCTCGATGCCGAAGGGCGCCTCGTCGCTCTCGCCTATGTTCATGGCCCCATCCACCTCCTGAGCGAAATTCTCGTCCTCCTTCTTGTCGCGGACGACGTCCGCAAACGCGCACCCTGGAAGGTTGCGGCTGGCGAAGTCCACGCAGTCAGTGCAACCGAAGCACTCGAACGCCTCCTCAGCCTTCCCACCCTCCCCGACCCTGGCCGTCGCAATGAACACGTCATCAACGAAGGCCTTGTGGCGGTCCTCGGGCGATTCGGGAAGCTGCCCTCCTCCTCGTCCTCCTCCTCGTCCTCCTCCTCCGTCTCGTCGCCAATCCCGTTATCCTCGTCGTCGTCATCATCCTCGTCGTCGTCCTCGTCCTCGTCCTCCTCCTCCCCGTCGTTCGTTAACCTCGTCGTCGCCCCCCCCCCATCATCGTGGTTCGTTATCCTCGTCGTCCGTTATCCTCATCGCCGACGCCACCTCCTCAGCGTCGTCCGTTATCTTCGTCGTCGTCGTCGTTAGTCATCTTTATCATCATCGCCAACCCGCCTCCCTCCTCCGCCTCAAACCACTCTGATTCGAATTGTGTTAGGGGGTTCCGCGGGCTCCTGCTCCCCAGCATCGCACAGGCCGCAGATCCGAAGAGCTCGCTTCCTCGCCCTCTTCTCGACTGGACCAGCGGCGCCCTCGCTGCCAGACGCGGCTGCCGCTTGGCGACGCCTGGCTGGCTTCGCGCCGCGGTCGGCCATGACCGAAACGATATCTGGCTGGACGTTGAAGTGTTCCGACTAGCAGACACTCGACGGGCAGCGCCTGTCCTTAGCTCAGACACCCTCGGACAAAAATGGGCTATGGCATGGCGTCGGAGGCGCCCTCGAAGGTTCTCCGAGTAGGCTTGCCTGAACGAGTCCTCGCTTATGTCCAACGCTATAGGACCATACCCCGTCTTGCCACAAGGACCCCTCTTTATCAAGTAGGCTTGCCAATAAGAGTTCTCGCGCATCCCCGAACAGTGCAGGAGCACAGTGCCCACAGTACACAAGAACATCAACAGCTGGTATCATCTATTCCATAGATGGCACCAGCTGTTTACGCGTGCTCTGCCGTTGCCGCCCTTGTCGTGGGACATGTCCTCATGAGACGGGTGCGCGTGCTTCATGGCTATCATACGTGCGCGCTCCCTTGCTGTATGCGCGGTTGTAACACGTATGCTTTGTTGTTTGTATGTGATGTTGCTTTGTAGTACACCTCCACGCTGTATGTGTTGCTCGCTTGTGTTGCTGTACGCGTTGTTGCCTTATACACGTTGCTTGCATGTGTTGATGTCTGCGTGTGCTGCTGCCTCGTACGCGTTATTGCTAGTATATGTTGTTTAGCTGTACTTGATGTGGTGTGCTGACCTTTTGCTCAGCGCAATCACTTGCGTCTTCCATATAGGCGTTTCTGGATGATTCAGCACGGGCACCTCCAAGCACACCTCAACTAGGTGCAATCTGGCGACACTGGGACTGCCGTGCACCCACGGCTGAGTACTTGTAGCAGGCTATCGCTGCTACGGAAGATTGATGCAGGGCGCGCTGAGCCCAGACGGGACGTGGAGGGAGGCGGATCCAGGGACACATGATGAAACGAGCGAAGCAATAATAATGGGAGGGCATGAGGGGGGGAGTACTTACGATAAGGAAGGCTGGTAAAGAGAGCTGTCCTGCGCCTTGCTGCCGACTCAGTCGTAGGTGCTGCCCTAGGTCGAGCCGCTGCTGGTGTCGCCCGCGTCCTCCGCATCGTCCATGATCCTAGCGTGGTCATCGCCCCGCTCCTGGTCAAGCTTGAGAATGTCCTCTGCTCTCTCTCTCTGATGTTGCCCACCTGGGTGCGGAGAGAGCGGATCCGTGCCTTCAGCATGCGGATGCACATCTTCCCCAGCCTCAACTGCTTCCACACTTTCTGGAAGCGCCCTCTCATCGGCGGTTCTAGATTACGCTTCCACAGAGGCGTCTGCGGCATGATGAGTGAGATCGGACCTGCTTCAATGTAACACGGGGTGATTGATTCAGCAAAAACAACGCTTGCTTGGCAGCTGGGGAGCCTCAGACCTACGGAAAAGACGACTGCAAGAAGTCTAGCGCTGACTCCAACATAGCTTGTTGTTCGGTTTTATTCCCGAGCTCCAGCGGTGACTCCAAATACAAAGTCAAACATTCGCACGAGATGACCAGTTCTGTAAGAACTCCATGTGTGCGTAGATACGCACTGCAGCACGTAAGAACTCCAGCGGTGACCCCACCGCCACATGAAAACATCACGCGTGCTTGTTTGAGTGGCCGTGCCGAGTTGCCAGGATGTCCCTGGTCAGCAAGAAAAATCTGGATTTGGGAAATACGCGTTCTCTCATTCCCTATTTCCCTCTCTCAGTCCCCTTCTCTCCTCTTGCCCTTCCTGATCCGTCCCGCTTGATCCCGAAAGGCAACGCAGTGACGTCCCGCATGTATTTCCCAAATCCAGATTTGTTACTTCCCGAGGCTCTCAGGTCTCGTAGGGACTCATGCGGCTCATGGGCCCCTCAGGCCTCGTAAAAACTTATGTGTCGCTGTGTTGGTTGGTTTATCCATTATTCCGTAGTAAACGCTTGTGTCTGCTCCCACAGGAAGACAATATTATCGTATATGCGCTATTGCTTACGGTTGTTATATACTCCTGCCGTATGTTATGCCTATTGTTGCTATGTGCTCCTACGTGGCTTCGTTTGACACTTAAGTATATTGATTTGCATACGTACACATGTATGGTTGATGGGTTGTGTGTTGTTTCGCTGTTGTTGTTCATATTCGTTGTTGTTGTTTTCCTAGGAAGGCTGCACTCACAGAGGAACACCTCATACTCGCAACCGTAAGAAGTGTATACATAGCGAGTGTCTGAAGACTTGGCACATGAAAGCAGCCTGAAGCGACCCTGCGAATGACGAGGCTCAAGCAGAACTTCTCCCTCGGCTCCTGAACTCAAAATTTGGCACGTGAGAGCTTCTCCACGAACCAACTTAGCAATCGAGGGAATCTGGGACACCAATGGCGTCGGCCCACATGGCCTGCTCATACTCAAGGGGAGGCTGCGTGCCATAAATCTGCTCATCCTCTACCTGCGTGTCCATAACAGCTGAGAGACGGGGACGCTCCATATCCACACCGTAGTCTTTAGCGAACAAGGCAGGGGCTGCTTCGTCTTGGTCACGGTGAGGCCCCATGGCAGCTGCTGTTGCACCCTCTTTAGCTTTGGCACCATCGTTATCCATGGAGAGGTCCGCAAGGCCATCTGCTGCACTACCAGGCGCATCTGCTGGACGAACGTGAGACCCTGGAACTGTAGGCGCTGCGGCAGGCCACTGCGTGGTCAATGCTGGGTCAGGCTTCCGCTGGACAGTTGACGACTGGCCTGGCTTCGGCTCGACCCTTGGCGGCTGGCCAGGCTCATCATCTGGTGACGACGACACCACTTCTGGGTGCCTCAACTGACCCATCTCGGTTAAGCTACTGCGCTGCAACTTCACGGGGGGCTTGATAGCCTCCTCGCCCTCGTCTTGGAGCCTCTTGAGGGAGGCTCGCTGCTCCCGGGACGGGTGTGGCGCCTTCGACCTGACTATAATTTTCATCGGTATCTGGATGGTGAGTTCCGTCTGCCGTTGGAAACCGTGCGGCAATTCGTTCAAGTTTATCTTTAGCACGGGGTACTCGAAGCCAAGCAGAACCTCCCCAGCATCATGATCGGCCATGGTCGTTGAAGAGAAAAATACCTCACTGAATGTCTGGGCAAGTGCTCTGGCAAACGAAACGCGTTGCTTGATTGGCGCAGGAGCTCGAGGAAAAAAATGCGAAGCCGAAATCCCCTTGCACACAAGTTGCCTCGGGCCCGCTGTGTTATTGTGTGTGCATGTGGTGTGCGTGTGATTCCATGGCCAAATACATGGGCTCACACACTTTCACAAGTGGGATGCAGCGTATAGAACGGGAAACCGTCATAATATGTTCATGTTGTACACATTCGTAGTTAAAGTGTATATTCTTATTGGGGCCCTGGGGCCTTCGATGCCACGACGGCCCTCAATGGTTCCAAGACGGCCGCTGCTGACGCGCTCACGCGAGCCCCATAACAGGTCACGCAACCAAGCACGTCCCAAGAGATCCCAAACACCCCAGACACCCAGAGAATATCATGCACACTTTAATCCGCCGCCCCCCGCGTGGGGAGACCCTCCGCCTGCCTCCCCAGTCCAGGGGTGGATCCATGCCCTCCTTACTTTTGGAGGGCACCAGGCTTCGCATGCCTTCTGCGCCCCATACGCACGAGGGGGCAAAGGATTACCCAAGACGCCCCAGGAACCCCCAGACAGACCAGACGCCCATTGGCACCCCAAGACAGACCTAGAACCCAAGGCTTAAAGGAGTAACAAAGCCGCCCCAGAGACATCCGACAACGAAAGACGCCCCCACCCCATCGGGACCCCAGACACTTTTAATAAGGATTACCAAAGGCACCCCAGACACACCAGACGCCCAAAGAGGCCCAGACACCCCCCATGCACATCAGACACCCCAGGAAGCCCCAAGAAGCCCCAGACACCCCAGACACACATAAAATCCCGCCGCCTCCTGCATGGGAGCGCCCGCCGCCCCCCCCCCCCCCCATTCAGAGGGTGGGCCCGCGCCCTCCATATGTTGGAAGGCCCCGTCTGGGAAGGCTCAGATCGCCTGCGCCCTGTTAGGGGATGCAATGGGAATTGTTGTGCATCGCCCTGCTGGCAAGAGAGGACCGCATTGCCATGTCAACATCCTTGTCTACCAAAGGCGCTCTTGCAGCTGGCGTGAAACCTTCCCCTGGCGGAAGAAAAAAGGTGGCACCGTGCTGAAATGGCAGAGAACATTGATCTAGGATAAATGACATCTGTGGGCGCAGGGTCCCCGTGAGCTCCACCATATAAGCGCTTCGCAACACAATTGCGCATGGCATGGCTTCGCTACTCCATGCCATAGCATTGCACGTTGGCATGGCATACCCCCCCATAGCGTCATGGCATTGCATTATGGCATAGCATAACATTGCATTATGGCATGTTCAGGTGCGATCCCAAGAAAAGGGCCCGACCCACGAGGACCTTAGGAGCCCTGAGCCCCAAGCCCAGGCCCTAGAACGAAGACTGTAGTGGAAGAGAAACGGTTGCACGTTTTTGGGTGGGCCCTTCCCCCCTCTGTCACATATGTCGGGGAGCCGTA